AGACATCTGCATTATAAACATTGCACTGTCATTCAACTATAGCCAGTTAAACGATTACCGTTTTAAAATAGGTTTTACTGAGCATATGTTTTTCACTTCAAGTACTAAAGCTTCATTACTCCCTCAAAATTCAAATGATTTTTTCCTCCTAATCTCAATCAAGTTGGTGCTCATTGCATGAAAATGTAGGATTCATTGATCAGAATCTATTAATATTGATGCAATTTAATCAACTAACCGCTGGAGACATTTTCCAAAATCCCAGTTAAGATTTTATGAGAAAGTCATGGGGCTTCCATACAATCAAGAAAGAGAACACGATACAATAATTTTATTTGTGCACTAACTTACAATCAACATTTTCTGGAAACTGTAGATGAACGTCTTTATATGTTTGTAAGGCAAGTTGATAATTTCCTGAGTGGCGATGACAGGATCCAATCATCAACTTCCAGCGGGGTTCTAATGGCTGCAAAAGAGCAGCTCTTTCGTAATAGCCCACAGCTTTCTCTGGAACACGTAGCTCCAGATAGTAGGATCCTAACCAGTCTAGGACTCGGAGGTTCGAGGGGTAGTGACGATAGGACTGCAAGAGTAAATAGGTATCCAATTGAAAAAATGCATACAGGGTATTCTATATACTTATAAAATATGACCTTAATTTATCGGATTGCTATTTAATGAATACAGATGATAATGGACCAATTTTTCAATCCTGTGAAACCTGAGAATCGAGGTCTCACTAAACTACACACCAATACCTGAAGCGACCAAGAGCTTGTTACAATCTTCCACTGAAAGTCTTAGCTTGGGTTCAAAGCTCGTTTTGGGGATACAATGTTGCAAATTTTATATTTTAACCATTGAATATGAAGTTCCTCCGTTGAAAAAACAACTTCAGTTGATCCCTTTTAATTTTTAGAGGCACAGTGAGTCACTGTGATGTCACTATCAGTGTCATCAACAGATGATAAAACTTCTAGTGGTGTATTGTCTGATCAAAATATTTTGTTTAGAGCCACGTTTGAACAAAGTCCCTGAGTTTTCTAAAAAAGGGGGCACAAAAAAGCCCTTTTTTGACAGACTTTTCAGTTGAACGACAAAAGTTGGAAATGAATTGAATTCAGCTGATTCAATTGAAAAATGTAGTTAACGTAGTTAAGTTTGGCTGTTTTATGAATATTTGTAATGGGCTGTAATGATTAGCATCAATGATTTTCCATTTCCTCAGAAACTTACATTTCTAGATTTTTCAGTACGGCAATGTAACACATGTTCCTGATTTGTCGTGATGAAAACTCTGATATGATCTTGATTTTTCGATGCTGGAAAAATCTCTTTGTCACTCTTTTTAGGAGACAACAAAAATTAATATGGAATTTATAAATATATACGTATACAACTTATGATCAACTCTTCTTTAGTGGTACATTGGATTCTCTTTGTTGCTGCTATCATTGTTTCATTTAAGATCTGATGAAGCACTTGGTTTTTCTCCGATACTTAGCACTATACGATAGTATATTCTCTTTGCGTCATATTTTAGCAGTTCCACAAAAGTGGATACCATACCTCAAAGTAATAATGATACGCCTGCTGTTTGTCATTTTCAGCCTCAAAAATTTCTCCTAGTCTTAGCAAAACGGTTGGGTCAGTAGGAACGATTGATAAGAGTTGCAAATACCACTCTACGGCCTGATCTGGATCACGTAGCAACTGATGTAAATGACCCAGCTGATACAAAACCGGAGGATGATTGGACATGATTGCACTTAGTTTCATGAAACAATCAACAGCTTCACTGTAATCACCTGAAAGTCAAGCATAAATCAATTATTAGTGAATCGGAAGAAAAATGGTTGAAAACAGGCGGATATTTTTTCCCCCTCGCTCTTCTGTGAGCAGGTTTGAGCCACAAAACTTAGCCAACTCCTAATGGATCAGTTGCGCTGGTCAGAACATCGTGTTTTGATGCTTGGTTCTTGTAGATTAGCTAAAAATAATAAGATCTGTCCAAACAGCAACTTTCTACGTTGAATATTAACAGAGATATCTCACTTTGAAAAATTCGGTTTATGATGTCATCCACCGCCGCAGTGACACCTTTGGTTTCTTCCACCTTGCTTTCATCCGAGTTTCACGTTAAGTAATTTGTGCAAATGTGTGTAACACTAATTGAGGAAAGCAAGTCAGAAGAAACCAAGGATGTCACTTGCGCGGAGTATGATGTCCTAAACTGAATTTTTCAAAGCGCAATATCTTAGTTAATATTCAACGTAGAAAGTTGCTGTTTGGATGGATCTTAATATTTTTGGCTGATCAACAAGGATCAACTATCAAAACGCAATTTTAAGATCAGCGCAACTGACTCATTCTCTCAGTAATCCTAGCATTAGATTAGGAGCAGCAATCAGGAAACAATTTTTTTTGGGCGATAGTTGAAAGTCAATAATTCAAGTAATTTTTTGAGGTCTATTATAAACTGGAATAGACTTTTCAGATGAGAATTTGAAACCTACTAAATTAAAGTCTTTTCGCCTAAACTTTGAGAACAGTGAGACCTTTTCTTCACAAGAGAGAAAAAAATGGGGTCTCGATCGGAAGTGTTTGCTAATTTTGGGTCATTTTTTGGTTATCTATCCTCCCTTCTTTTTCATGTTATGTAACTTTTACAGAGTATTATTGTTTAAGGCTGAAAACTAGACTTACACACAAACAAACAAACAAACAAACAAAACAACACTCAGAACCAATAAATTTAAATTTTTATTCCGACTAAAGTAGGAGTAAAATTAGTGCTCACAACAACTAATAATGTGATGATGAAAAATGCTGAACTTTTATCAAGGTTCTGAAAACTACCTTTGGACACAATGCAGTGACATATAATGGAAAGTGATATTAAGAATTAAAAACATTGCATAAATTTATATTTCATTACACAAGTAGACTGATAGCAGTATGCAACGATTCTTTCACAACCTGGTTGCTTAAAAATTTCTAGTAGAGAGATGCATTAAAAAAAAAAACTGCTCTCTATCGCTAAGCTAAGTGAAGGTGCTTACGAGTTACACAGCCAAGGACACAAAGAGTAACTACCATTTTGCTTATGGATCAATCCCAAATTAAAAAGAGCTTGAATGCAAGTTGAATCATTCTCTAGGGCAGTAGCGTAAAGTTGCCTGGCTCGATTCATGTCATTTCGAGTCAACGCGCAGTTACCAAGATTGACATACGCATTGGCATTGTAACAATCTGCTTCGTAAGCAGCCTCACTCGATTTTTCTGCCTCTTCAACATTTCCTTGCTAAAATCAACAGGGCACATTAGAAATTAGTCCCATGTTTTTGCTCTTGGAGGATGCACAAACCTGTTTTCAGCGACAAGACGGTGCTTTCATTAAGTTTTATTATTAAGATAGTCTCATTATTCTGTGAGGGATCAATAAGGTCACACACAAAATAAAAATGTATAGGTACGTTCCTTCATGAATAATGGATCACTAGACAACGTACAAATTTCCAGGTCGAGAAAGGCAAGGTCAAGAAACTACATCGATTGATCAATTTTGAACCGACTGGATTTTACTACTCGTTCATTGAAATTGACACTTTTATATACAGTGGACTCTCGATAATTCGAACCTCGATAATTCGAAAACCTCGTTAATTCGAAGGAAAGTCTGTTTCCCTTGAAAATCTCTCGATAATTTGAGGAAAATCAATGTATTTTTCTCCCCTCATTAATTCGAAATTTTTAAGCCGGCGCGGCCCTCTATAATTCGAAATTGCGACGAAAATTCTCTCTGTAATTCGAAGTGTGGGAAGTAAATACGGCCCTCCCTCTATAATTCGAAAGAAGACGGTACAATCTCTCTACAATTCGAAGTCAACTGCTATACCTGGGTGTCTGAAAGAGCTTGACCTTTGACCTAAAGACCTTTTGGCGTAAATCCGTCCATTTGCCCCTCTATAATTCGAATTCAGACGACGCCTTCCCTCTATAATTCGAACCTCTCTAATTCGAAATTTCTCCACATGGAATCTCTTTAATTCAAACTCTCTTTATTTCGAAACCTCGCTAATTCTAAGAAAAAGCCGATTCCCTTCAATTTCGAATTATCAAGAGTCCACTGTATGATCACTTTGAATTTCTGAGAATTTTCTAAGGCAATGATTACATGCTTATGGATACATTATTGAGATCACAATTAATTTTCTAGGTAAATATAATTTGTACTTACAAGAAGATAGATGAAGGACAAATTGGTCAGCGCAGCACTGGCGACTTTACTTTCGCGTTTGTCAAAAAGTTTCAGTGAATCGATCGCTTGAGGGATTTCTCCTTGACATAAAAAACTGATGGCTTTGTTAATTTCTAGATCTCCAGCGAGTGGTGCATACAAGGAACTTTTGATGGCATCCAGACACCAGTTATAGCCTGTATAAAAAGGTAAAAAATAACTTTTCAAATGATAAAATGAGAGCGACCACCCTGTATTGAATCATATATGAGCAGGAATTTTATGAATCTAAGGACAAGATTTTTTGACAATTAGCAACCTTAGTTAGTCACCTTCCAGGCAAAGTATCACAAGCGCCATGCGACGTGTAAAAATTTCCGCCGCCATTTTATTTTTTTATAGAGAAATTGTTCAACGAAGCTGTCCGAAAATTTCACTGAATTTTCNGGACAAATTGGTCAGCGCAGCACTTGCAACTTTACTTTCCCGTTTGTCAAAAATTTTCAGTGAATCGATTGCTTGAGGTATTTCTCCTTGACATAAAAAACTGATGGCTTTGTTAATTTCTAGATCTCCAGCGAGTGGTGCATACAAGGAACTTTTGATGGCATCCAGACACCAGTTATAGCCTGTATGAAAAGGTAAAAAATAACTTTTCAAATGATAAAATGAGAGCGACCACCCTGTATTGAATCATATATGAGCAGGAATTTTACGAATATAAGGACAAGATTTTTTGACAATGAGCACATGTCGTCACCTTCCAGGCAAAGTATCACAAGCGCCATGCGACGTTTAAAAATTTCCGCCGCCATTTTATTTTTTTATAAAGAAATTGTTCAACGAAGCTGTCCGAAAATTTCACTGAATTTTCTTTGTGCTGCTGTTAAAATTTAGTGAAATTTCCAAACAGATTCAACCAACAATTTCTCAGTAAAGAAATAAAATGGCGGCGGAAATTTTTAAACGTCGCATGGCGCTTGTGATACTTTGCCTGGAAGGTGACGATGTATTGCACAAATATTGGAAGGAAGTTCTAAATGGAAGATAACATTACCGGCCGAATACGAATCTCCAATAACAGGCGAAATCAGTTTGGCAGCAGTTAAAATACATTTTTCAGCCTCTTGCTTCATTTGGCGTTCAAGAACCGTCAGTGAATCATTTCGTACTACTTCAGCAAGCAAACTGGCATTGACATCCTCGTTGTTGACTGCGTATTTGTCGTCATCATCTATGAGAAGCGGAACAGCTAGCAGCATTTGGAAAGCTTCTTTCATTCGCTCCTTATTCTCGACAGCATAATAGCATAGAATCACATGCAGACCAGCTTTGAAGTCAGGTTTCTCTTGCATTATGTATTCAAAACTTGTACAAGCATCATCAAACTGGCCCAATTTGACGAAGAGAATTCCAATATTATGCATTATTCTGACCCTACAATAGAAACAACAGAATTTGTGGTTGACAAAAAATTATGAAAATTGAAATCAAGTCAGCCAGACAAATGGGAACATTCCCTTAGAGGCCTCTGACAAAAGGTGCAGCACTTAAAGTGCAAATTTCTGCCACACAAATGCATGTTAACGTCTAACACATGGCGACTTGACTCAGTAAGTAAAGTTTAGAGACATTATTTTCTGTACATGAAGAAAAGTTTTAGGCGATCAATTTCTGTTGACTCGCCGACAGTACAAGTTCATGATTCTCAACAACAAATTAGGTGTACAATAATACAATTTTTTTTCTTTTACTTGCGAGCAGGGAATAATGATTGAACTATATGACTAAGGAAACATATGAACTGATTCTAATGTAAAATGCAACTGCTGAGGCCTCACTTGTAAGTTAATTTCAAACAGTTTGAATATGTTTCATGTGTTGTGTAAACTTTTGATGAAGAAACATATTTTGTGAAATTAAAATCCTCACTGTCTGGTGGTCAAATAAGACTGTATTATCATTCTTTATCGTAATTGAGTAATTATTTGCATAAATACTTGCGTTTTTTTTTTCATTCTGTTTATTTTTGACCTCTAAAATTTCTCATAAGTTTTGCATGAGTCAAATATTTTCAGCCGATTTCAGTGATAATAAACATGTTTCAATATTAAACATATCCTCAAGTTGAATCAGAATTTGTTTGTAGTTCACTTGAATTTCAATGCGTAGAAGCCAGTTTATATTTAAAATATCAATGATTATGAGCAAAAAATGCGTACCTTAATTGCAACATTTAAAAAAACTCCAAAAACGTTTTATTTCCTTCAGGGAAAACTTATCACCTTTTTTTTTGCGCAATTCTAAGTAATTTTTTTTATGGCAAAAGAAAAGAATTCACAGAAAATTTCAATGGGAGCTACTGGTTACCACTTCTTTCAAAGATATAAAACATGAGCGAAGGCTTACATTGTCACAATTCGGGACGCACCTTTTTTGGCTTTGGCTATTGATATAAGACTTTGCTTCAATTGATAAAGGCTTGAATTACCTGAGATCTTTGTGTGTGTTTGGAACCTGGTCAAGAGCCATTCGATACATTTTAATAGCCTTCTGATATTGTCCAAGGTGAACATAAATATTGCCCATATTGACTTTTAATCTATTGGCATTGGTGAACATACGATTTCTTGTGATTACTTGGTAGGTGTTTAGAGCCTCAGTATACATTTTATTTGAAGCATACTGACAAGCAAGATTGAACAGAACCTGAAAAAATAAAAAGAAAGAAATTGGAACAAAAAAGAAAACATTTTGGCCATGAACGTATCAAATGGAAAAACACAGTCAACCTACTATCTGTTCTTACACTACCATTTCTTTACAGAGACGGATAAACAAATAGGAGATGGCGGTCATCATTGCCGGCGCAGATAGATTTTTTGTAAAAAGAGGTATCAGAATTATCGGAACAAGAAATGTGTCAGGGTGGAGGACTAGAATTCACACCAAATAAGTTCAAACACTTTTAGACTGAGACAGGAGATTGCGTGACGTCAGTTTAGCATGGAAAGTGAATGCAAGAATCAAAATGACTGATCTTTTATCGCAGTCTAAAGGTGCGTTAACTTATTTGTTATGGACTCTAGCATAAGAGGAGAGAATTATTATTTATGTTTGCATGCTTTAAAGGTATAAAATTTGGAACAAGTTTTTTGTCCAAGCCACATACTGGTATAAATGATAAAAAAACAAGCTCGACTTTTAAAAATTGCGTACCAAAAAAGTAAGGTCCAAATTGTGTGAGTCACTAAGACCAGCTTGTTCTTGCATTCGAATGAGACTACGCTCACGCGCAGAGGCCTCCTTTGCTTTGGCTAAAGCGGTTTTGAAATCGTTCTTATTTTCTGCCAGACAAGCTTCATCAATCAACTCTGTGATGCGTCGCTCCATTTGTTTGATTTTGTCTTCAGGCCTGAAAATAAAATTAATTTTTTTAGATGTGAAGGTAAATTGCTGTCAAAAATTACAACTGTTTCCTCCTCAATGGGTGAAATCCTGAATCATGAGAAATGTCTTGAGATCCATCGATGATGAGAGTCATGTGAAACTTACAGAGCCTTACTATTCCAGTGCTTCTCAGGATTGACAATTGTGGCTTCCTGATTGGCCCTTGTTTACCCTGAAGAATAAAGAGGAGCCAGCACTATTCTAACACCTTGTTATTTATTTCTTTACATCCATTTCTTTTATACTTTGAATTTTTATGAGGAAATATTAATTTCCCCCTCCCTTTGAGAACTATCCTTGGGATTCAAGAGAGAACTTCTAGGATTATATACGTCAGAAAATCATTACCTGCTCATCTTCAAATTCGATAAACTCACCTGTCAGACTCTTCTTGTGCGATAGTAGGTTCAGTCATGGTTTGAGCTTGATTCAGGGGATCAAACATAGCTGTGCTTTGTCTCTGAGATGTGTATCCAGCACCTCTCACTGCTGTCATTGGTCGCATGATTGTTTCGGATAAAATACCGGCACCAACTGTGGACTGACGAGCTGTTGAAGTGATGGCAGTTTCAGTACGACCCTGAAAAATTGGACAGAATTTTGGTCAGGGAACACTTGGTTTTCATACTAAAAGGGCCAATGCATGACATTCAGTCTTGAGAAAAATAAATACTGAAAGCAACTACTTTTTGTAGTGATGACATTGTTCAGAGGACTTTTCGGCATTAAACCTCTAAAACCATGTATCTTGGTTTGAGACAATGCAGGCTTCCCATCATTTTTCATTTTTAAAATGGAGAAATACTGATAATCAACGTCAATTCTAAGAAGCTATTGTGCTTTTTCTTCTTTGCGCAAAGCAAATTCTGAAAAAATTAAAGGAATGATGTTGATTTGTTCTCCTTTAAAAAAATGAGATAGGAGTGAAGATTTTTAAACACCACTAAAGAGATACTTGGTTTGGGAGTTTCACCTTCATTATGACAAGAGAGAAATATAATTTTAGGGATAGTATCTTAAGGATTCATCAGAGAGTTGTGCTGCAATATTTGCTGGATAAAAATGAATTGTTGAGAGGAACAAAAAATTGAGGGTAGCAGTTGGATGATCTTGGGTGGTCACTCTTGTTGATAGGAACAACGTCACTGTATACTTTAGAGTATCGAAATTTGCTCTACATAAAAAGATCCTGATCACGTGATTAAACAAATACTATACGTATTCCTTTTACTTCTTAAGAAAAACTACAAAAAGAATATTGAAACCCAGTATTTTTCAGTTACAGCTGAGAGTACTTTTTGCAAATTAAAGTAAAACTGAACCATTTAATAACTAGAGACCACTGGTCCCAGGAGCCGGATTGTTGAAATTTATGTCCGCACGACAAGAATCAAAAATTGATGTATTAGGCCGCACAGATAGGGCTATGTCTTGTTTTATCTTGCCGACATAGCCAGTTAAAGTTTCAACAATCAGGTTGCTGGCAAAAGATTCTTGCACACAGTCAATTCTGTTCTTTACTACTACTAATCTCCATCATTTTGTTCTTTTCATGTTCTTCATTCATTCATTCATTTTCATTTGCTTTTCTTAAAAATTCAGCTCTATACTTACCAGTGCACTAGTGAGTCTTGAAGTTCCAAATCTCATAGCAGTGTTCGGTTTTGTGAGAATCTGATAAAAGAGAGGTAATAAAGTCTAAGGTCAGATTATACATGACACTTAATGCTAAGAATGTGCACAAATGTGCAAATGTGAGCCTGGTCAAGATTAGAAACTTGCACGGAAGAGATCTAGCATTAGCGAAGCTTTTTCGTGTACCTTTAACTTCAACCTATTGCGCATGTTTTTATTTTGAAATCAGACCTGGCTAAAGGTAATGAGGTGGCTCACGTAGACAACTGCTAGTGAAGTTAGACTTCAAGAGATAGTGGGACACTGACAGACAAAAAACTACTAGCAAAAAGAAAAGAAAAAACCCGCGAATTTCTTGTAAGTAATTCAAAATACTCCATCCTGACAATACGATCTAGCATGCTACACTTTAATCCTTTTTTTCCACCAACCATGACGGTTTGGCAAGTTACTACTTTTACAAGATTAATAATATCATTAGAACTCACACGAGTTAAGAAAGCATTGATTAATTTTGATTAAGACGTGTGGTACACTGCTGAAAATATCTGTGCACGGCTGCAGCAGCACCACTGTTCACATCTTCGATCACTATGTGGATCGCAATTAGCAAAAAGGAACCAGCACAATTACAGTGCTATATAGATGTTATTTCTTCATCATTTTCTAAAAAAAAAATCCCAGAATAGCAGACAGTTTTTACTTCCCATCAAAAAATTGTTCATTTTAAAGGAGAATAAAAATGATGTAAATTTTAATACTGTAGACGTATTAAGAATTTTTAAAAGAAAAAAAGAAGTTGTGTGATTTTGAAAACACTGTAATCACGCTGGTTCCTTTTTGCTGAATGGGCTCCATATGACAGTAGCAGCGCAGTTAATAGCAAACTGAAAATAAGAAATTGCCATTTTATCTGCCGTAAATTTTACATCAAAGTTCTATCAAGACTGGAACATTTGTGAGAAATTGAATTGCAGTTTTAATAAAAGGAATTTTTTTTTTATCTACTACGGATACTTTGTTGAACTGCGAGATGACATTACAGAAATATATTGGTGAACTTCCTGGGATATTGATGACCTAAGTGCAAAACCAAGTACCTTCGTTTGCAACATTGCAGACTTCCTGATGTACCAACTTCATTTGATTTTTTTTAAGAAAACTAGTTAACATAGTTTCTTGAAAACTTTCTCCGTTTTTCTCTTCTGTTATGTTAGCAGAATACTCTTTACGAATTTCAGGCTATAAGGCTGGCTTGTATCTCTTCAAAAAAATAAAATAGGAAGAGAAATTCTGAAACACTGCGACTAAGATACGTGGTTTTGCACTTTGATACTCAGAATATTAAGGGTTAAAACTTACTCCCGGTTTTTTTGCAAATGAAGACCTGAGAGCTTCCTGAAATATCTCATCTGTTTCTATATCTTTTGTGCTCAAAGCTGATGGATACTCATTGAATCCTGAGTACATGTCATCATCATCAGATGGATACATCTGCACCTGACTAGTCTCAAACGCCATTGATCCACAAGTTCAGCAAAACCTGCAAAATGAGTCAGTTCAGTATGAAACATTAGGTGTATAAACTGGGTGTGGTTAGCTCAAAACATCTTTCAGAAATTTGAGGGATACCCCAGATTAGTTGAAGAATACTATGACCATAGAAAACTTCATGATTCTCAACACATTTGATAAAGAATCTAATGATTCTCTGGGTGATGACAATGAATCGGAATCTTACGAAAAGAATCATTGTCTTTGAAACTCAGCATAAATCTCTCTTCATACTCAAGCACAAGATTCTCTGCTAAGCATGAGTTTGAAGTCAGCATGTTGAGAATGGGTGGATATCTGATGAATTTGTTTTAGATGTATTTGGGTAAAAAGACTGTGGGTAATTTGCCGCATGGGTGAACACAGTTCAGTGAAAGGGTCTCCCACCGACTGTCTGTTATGTGCTACCTAATTTTGGCTTGGAGCATGTGGCTCTCTTAGGCAGCTCAAACTTTAATGAAAACAACTAATTCTAAATAGTCTTAGAAATTTTTGCACTTAAAAAGCAATGTAACAAGTATTAAATGTTTTATTAACACAGGATGATTTTACTTGTTTCCTTAAAAACATGTTCCGACGGTGTGTGATATGTGCTTAAATTTTGACAATCCTAGAGCGCAAATCATCTGTAAGAGAAATTGCGAACCGTCAAGGAAAGGAACATACTTATGAAGTAGTAAAATTATGCGCTATCATAACAAGTTCCAAAAACAGTGCAGGAACATAAACTTGCATGAATGATCATACAGATGATTCAACTCAGATTGCAATTTGGGAGCAGAAAGAAAAACTTACATTCACAGCCAAAACCAAGCAGAAATTTCTAGTCTTGACTTAAGACGATATATTCAAATGATCCAGCACTAAAACTAACCACTTATTCTAAAGAAAAACTATAATCGGCATTAGTGTTTCATTTCATTCATCCCAAACTCCCTTATCACACACTTTTTGATTCTTATGAAAACAAAAATCACGTGACTGTTGTCAAGGAGGTAGAATTGCCACCTTTGAATGATTAGCGCATTATCAGTTTTCATTTCTTACATCAATTTACGATACATAAGTTTATTGATTAGATCGATGAAAAATTATTAACGGCCAAAAAAATTATTCTGAATGCCGTTGATATGTGATCTATCTTATGGAAAAATTATGATTTAAAAAAAAACCTTTTCCTCGACGCTGGTGCAGTGAAATTTTGTGAGCACTTATTCTCCAGTTGCAAAACTGGTTACATGAACACTGTTCTCTGATTGGTCCATTTGGACCCACATCCGTCATATTTGATAATCAACTTCAAGATTTTCAGTTAGTGACAACAACAAAGTGGTTTGGCATTTGTTTCTGTATTTTTAGTGAAAGTGATTTTTTTTTTCACACTTCGAATTCTTTCGTTTTCGTCTAAATTTCTTTCATCTTGAGATATAACAACTTTGCACACACCTACTTGTACACAATCAGTGCACAATGGACGGTGAACCATCAGCGAAGAGAACCAAAGTTGATGATGACGAAGTTCATCAGGCGCTTCAGTCCATCGAAGAAAACCAGAAAGTACTAGAGGAACTGAACAAGGAGGCTGCCGAAGAAATGATAAAGATCGAGCAGATTTACTCGAAGAAACGGCAGCCGGTGTTCAATCAACGGAGCGAGTGTATCGCCAAAGTTCCAAAGTTTTGGCTAAAAGTGGTATCCTTTGCAAATACATTGTTCTTTTTTAACTTTTTATTGACATTCTATCTTGTTTTGCATGACAGAAAGTTTTAGTAAAGCATACGATGTTGGAGAAGCTATTGTTTCAGTTTAATTATTGCACTAATTGCTCAAGTTGAAGTTCACTTAAGATAAGTTTTTTAGCGTCAAGAGAAAGACGAAAGATCTGTCGTTTAACTTCCACATTCAATAATCAAGCAGACGAATCATTTGCCTTTTTCTCTAAGGTGGGGAGCATGTTTTCTATGATCACAATATCACCATATTACTGTAAACAACTATAGGTACTTGTATTTCTCTGCTTTGAGGTTATGTTTTTGCGCAGCTTACCGAAACAAAAAATAATACCCGTAAATTGGCAAAAATTTTATACAAGGATAAACACATTAATTATCTGTAATTTTCACCAACATTTAGGTATGTTGTAGTACCCTTACCACTTCCTATGTCAAAAGGCCTTATTCCACGGTTGGTAAATTGCGCAGACGTTTTAGTAGCAATGTTGTCATAACAATTTTTGTTATATTGAATTTGATCATGATTGGATCCAGACAGTATCCATGACATGACCTCTTTCAATGTTTGTTACGAAGCTCACTTTTTCATTGTAAATCCAAGCAAGAAAAGAGGGCTGATTTTCCATGGTGGGGGGGGGGGGCAGAGGCAGAATCCCTTTAATCTGTTTTTTGCTAACTTTCCCTAGAGCTAAAAAAGTTAGATCTCGTAGGAAATGGCTTATGAATGACCATGAGCATATCATGAAAATTTTAAATTCACCCCTACATCCAAATCCATGCAAGTAATTGGTGTTTATTGCCTTAAAATATGTACCTATTTAATTTAAGACCTACTTTGATACAGACTAACAAATCCCTTTGGTTTCACATCTCAAAATAGTCACCACCCAAGTAGCAGTGATCGCGATGAATAACGATTTTATTGGTTGGTTATCGTGATTTTATCAGTGGCAATATATCGAGATATCATCGCATTAAAAATTGCGATATATGGCGATTTAATCACTATAAATCGCAATTTTTGGTTAGATAAAATCGTGATCAATCTTTGTCGATAAAACAGAGATTAAGTCGTTATTTGGATTACATTTTGCATTAAGGAACCACTATTTTTGTCCCATTTTAGAAACAACATACATGCCATTAGTTTCTCTATACAGATATGTGCTCTTGTGGGAGAGCCAGAGATAGTGGTTCCTCATTGCATAATGTATTCCATTTATTGCTATTTTTATTTCGAAAATATCGCGATAAATTGTCGGGCGATAAAAGCTCGATTTTATCGCGATAAGATCAAGGATAATTGCTCAGATGTTGATGATCCTGGCGATTTTATCGTGGATGAAATTGTAATACATAACGATTTTTCCACTGATAAACGCTACTTGGGTAGTGCTTGATGCAGTTGTTTTATTAAAAATTTGGTTTCCTTGAATTACTTGGTTCCTTAACGTATCTCATTAGTTCAACAATCATCACATTATGCGAAGACTTATGCCTCCTGATGAAAAGGAATGCCTCAGTTACTTGACAAATGTAGATGTGGAAGAGTTTGAAGATATCAGAACAGGATATCGGTATGTTAAAATTTTACGTATATATCTTTTTTTCAATGGCATCATTCTTGTGTATTATAACAGGATGCACTTAAGATTGGAGGCTCAATGTGGAATAATGCGTATCTCAATCGCAATTTTTAAAAATCTCTGACTACGTATACGTTAGTTTCTTCCAAGAGGACCAATCAAAATGCTTCCTTGGAATTTCATGTGGTATTTTTAGAATAAGTAAAAAAATTAAAAAAAATTCAATTGGAACTGTTGATCAGTTTTCCTTCCGAAAAATAAAACTCGAGTGGAGACTTACAAGATTGCAATCTGAGATATGCTTTTGGGACTTTCGTCATTGTATGTAATCATGAAAAGGCTGTTACCAAGCAATCTTCTTTTGAAAAAAATGTGAGAGATCACTAAACACTTACATGTGTAACTTAATAAACCGAAAGTAACAAAATGAAACAAACTGGAAATCGAGGTAACAAACTGTCAGCTAAGTAATGAAATAAAGAAAGCCAAAACTAAGAAACTCAAACTCACAAAAATAAATTAAAATTGCCGACGCGTTTCAGGGCTCCGCGTCCCCTTCTTCAAGGCTACCTAAATTTCAAAATGTGTTGGAATTTTTAATTTAGTTTTGTGAGTTTGAGTTTTTTAGTTTTGGCTTTCTTTATTTCACTTAAATGTGACTCTATATTGAAAAAATCATGAAAAAAGAAACTGCGCAAGTCAGAATCTGAAGCTGGTCTCTTTAATAGTTTGTTATGAATTTCTTCAGTGGAAAAAGTATATAATAAGAAAGTAGGAGAGCAGAAATCTTTTTTCATTCAGGTACAGAAAATCTCAAAACATTAGCATCTGTTTTGGAACTTGGATGTCCGTGTTTTTGTTCTTAAGAACTGCTCAGAGGTCTTGCAAACTTTTGACATGACATATTCAATGTCTCTTCAATTCTCTTGTCGACGAGTCTACTCATGTGGTAGTTTTTATATTTGTTTTTACTGGTACCCTCTTTCCTGAGGTAGATACCTTCATATTTTGATTTGCTTGATGTTGAAAGGGAAACGTCTCCTCCAGAATTTTTTCTCCTGCTATTTTGATTTTTGCTATGGTGGATTTGTTATTCAAAAATGAGTATTAAAACTGTGAGAACCCCTACTCAAGACCAATCCACAGTATGCCTATTATTGTAGGTATTTATTCTATAAATGTGTGTATTATATTTTTTCATTCTTCTTCTTTTTTTTCACAGGTTCAAATTTACTTTTGATGAAAATCCGTACTTTACAAACCGGGTCCTTATTAAAGGCTTCTACAATGACAAAACAAGTAAGATTTTTGTTTTTAATTTATTTAATCCACAGCAAAATTTCTATATTTGCAGCTGCATCTCTACATTCAAACTTACTAATTTCACCATTTTGAGCAAGCAGCATTTTACCAAAAAAAAAAAAAAAAAATTTCATTGGACTGTAGATCTTGTAGGTGTACACATACTTACAGTAGATTCTGTTTTGGAAAAGCTTTTCCATCTCAGTCTACAAATGTCAAGCTCTGACAGTGTCAGTGAGAACTTAAGATAGGTCTTTTGCATCTAAATGTGTTCGAGGATTTGTGCCATTCCTGTTCTTCCTGGAACAGGACTGAAAAAAAGATCACAGGGGGTTACAAGTAAATAGAAAAATTTCCGTCTGAACAATTTACAGTTTTGAAAGTTTTAGAAAAATTAGAATTTTTCAAAACTCATAAATACAAATTAGGAAGATTCAGAAATCATGAACTAATTAAGAAAATTTCAAAATAAATACCTATCCCAAAAAAATCTAAGAAATTCCAAATTTCAAGATTTTACAATTTGTTTGAAAAATTCCATTAATTTTTTTTTAATTTTTTTAAATTTTAAATATTGTTTCTTTCCTACATATTTTAAAAGGCTTTCTTATTTTGGTGCAGACTCAGTGCCCCACATTTTTTGCAAATCTTGATCAAAAGTTCTGGCACGAAACTGCAGCAGTCATATTTTGAAATTGAAGAGCGTAGGCATGTCTCTCAGTTCCAGGCATTTTGTATTACCTCCTTAAATTCTAGACAAAAAAATAGGTTTCAAAACATGGCCTAACCTGTTTATGTGGGTTGCTCATACTCTTCTGCAAATGAGTTAATCTATTTTATTATGTTTTATCCCCACCATTATTATTTAATTCTGCTCTATTATACAGAACTATATTCTATTCTATTATATATTCTATATATTCTATTCTATTATATTATTATCGAGGGAGAGTAGCTTATTTTATATGATTGCTTTGCTTCAGGAGGCCCAACATCCACTGCCACTCACATCAATTGGTTGGATGGGAAAAGTCTGCTCAATAATTTTTCCAACAACCGGAAGCAAAACTATAAAATGACTTTCTTCAAATGGTTTTCCGATGAAAGTAACACATCAGCCAATCATATTTCAGAGGTAATTATTATTTACCTTATATATATTATAAATATTATTTCTTTTTCACTATGCTTCCTGCTTCTTTCACTTTATCATTAACTCATCTCTTTTAGTGGCTGCACTTAGAACTCACATCAGATATGTTGGCAGTTATTTACTTTTGACTGTCATGCACAGTAGATGGATTTACATTTCAGTGTCGTTGCCCACGGTTATACCTCGAAGACTATTGCTCAATTGCAATGCAGTTGCTTTGCATATTGAAAGCGGAAAACTGCAAACTTATCAGACTTGAGTTTGGAGCACCCACTTATGAAATGCCTCTGTGTGTCCGGCGTAAAATTGTTCCGTATTTACTTGTAAAGTTGTAAATTTTTACTGCTTTCAAAATATTATTTTTCAATGAGGGAAAGTATTGAAAAGACTCTATTAGCTGAATACAAGAGCCATTTTAAAGTGCTTTCTTTGGACTCGAGAGATCTTTTTGCAGATATTAGGAACCATCCATTTTTGCTCCTGCAAGCTCTACTAATGATAAGAAAACAATTTCCAAATTAAAAAATGAATTGAAATTTAGCTTGATAACCTTTATGAAGCAATTTGTCTCCTAAACACTCAAGTAATTAATTTGGTTTTTTTCAGGCTTTAAAAGAAGACATCTGGCCAAACCCTATACTGTATTATACAAAAAGAGACATCAGCAGTGCGAATGGAATCCTCACTGACAGCGATGTCGGAAGGTAATATTTTAATGAAACTTGCAGAGCACTCTTCCTGAATTTTTTAGCCTGCGCCTTTTCAGTCTAAGTGATGAAAAGTTAATCTCACTATCAACTTACACCAAAAGTAGCAAAAAGCTACTTTATTCATCATATTTGGCCATCGAGTTGCATGAGTTGTGCTGCAAAATAAATCGAACAATGCTCATTTGTTTGAAAAATAATCAGAAGTGATTTTGTTCAATAACTGCTAACTCCATGTTTATCAACTTTAGTAGAGTTCTAAAAATATGAAAAGTTTATGTCAAAAGACGGCTTGTTCTCAAAAGTAATCGATGCGATAAAACGCAACCTCAACTCATTTTGTCACCATCTGATGAATGTATCACAAGTGTCATTTGTCCATAGGTACTATGTTGCAAAATTGTTTAAACTTGCTCTATTTTTTCTGGAGTAACTAATCAGCCGAATATCTTGAAGATTTTTCCCAATATTTCTTCTGTCATTGAAATCAATCCCTGAAATTTTCATGGAAAGTACATATTTGCAAACACTCTAAAGAAATAATCAAAACAATATTGAGACGTTCCACAACATAGTGTTCAAGCGTAAATGGAGCTTGTAATGTTTTGGCCAGAAGGTGACAATTTTAGCATCAAAGAGTTTTGCAAGGGGGTCGAGAATATTGTGAGTTCTAAAAATAAAGTCAGCATGGGATGTAAAAATTCGGACTGGATCTTAAAATGAAGCACATACCATCATCAAAAAGGGTTATTTTTCTTTTTTTCCTACCTAATGTTCCTGCAGGTTCTGCTGTAAAGTTTAGTGCCGTATTGCTCAATAAAGTGCTGTCCTTTTTGCCAACTTTGTTGGATGTTTTGACTAAAATTGTAATAAACCTAAGTAAAATGTTTTTTGATGCTCTTCATTTTGACACATACATGCAACTTTTCTGCGCCATGCTGTCTTGCTTTTTGATCAATGTGGGTTTTATTGCCTATTCTAGTGTGTTCAAAAATCATTTACTGTTCGGGTAACTTTTTTTTTTCTCTCTCTCGTAATGCATCATTCCAAAAACTTGTAGGGGAAAGATACCTTGCAAAAAGAACAGGACTTTTTCATCTGAACAAGATTTCAAAAATAGTGTGGGTAGTGAGGTACTTTTTGTCTTAATGTCGGTTTTTGTATTTGTTTTCTTGCAGTGTGATTGAGATTGATGACAGCAACTCAAGTGACGATAGTGATGATGACAATGACATTCAGTTTAATTACAACGACAGTGAAGGTGAAGGTGATTCATTCCATCCTGATTTATCGAGTGATGAAGAGGACGGAATTTATGACGGAGAACTGAATGATTCTTCGAGCGGCGTTGAAGAGAGAGTTGGTAGTGGTCAACCAGAAAGTGTCGAAGACTTAGACTCAAGTTTTAACTCTGACGAACCCTCTGCTGTCAATGCCAGCGAATCCTCTGAAAACCCGGGTAGTCAACCGAGTGACAACGTTAAAAACTCTGAAGGCACATAAAAAGGTACTCCCCTCATCATGTAAATAAGTTACATGAGGAAATATCCAGAAGATAGATAAAAATTATGCTTGAGAACCTGTTCATTAAACTAAGGCAATCTACTTCTATGCTTTTTTAGGCGCTGTGGTACTTAAATGGCATCCATAGATGTCAGCTTTTTTACTGTCGTGATAAAGTGACTCTTAATGATATAACTTTTTCCTTTCTTTTTGATATTGGTATTTGTTTTTTCTTTCCTCTTTCACTGTTCTCCTGTAAATCAGGTACCTTCCCACCTCACAGTTTCTCCTCTGACTGAAGTACATGGCCACGTTTTATGATGAGCCCTTTTATATCTAAATCTCCATGTTGTGGAGGATTCAAGTGAAAATGTAGATTCGCTCTCTTTCCAGCAGAAGAATGTCATGTATAAACCTTGAAATGAAAGGTCCGTATCTTCTGAAGCCTAAAAAATCATTTTATAATTCAAATTAAGTCATTTTCAACTCATCGGATTAAATTGATTTTAGTCTTCAAACAAGTTTATAAGTTGCGCTTGTTTTTAATCTATTGTGTAAGAACTGTCTTCTCTTTAATCAAATTGATTTTGCTTAGTTTGTACCTAGAAACATACTTAAATTACAAAACATACCGTATAAAAATACGTCCATACATATTTTTATCATCTAGAGAGACTCTGACCAAGAGATATCGCTCACCTTGCTAACTTTTTTATACACTTGAATGTGATCTAAAATTGTATCCCATCAAAATTTCCTTTTTTCTAATTACTGAGATTCTTTTGGCTTCATGAAGATAAGGCCCTCTTTCCTCCCTCAAAATATTGAGACTAAAATATTTAAAACATTTTTTTACTTCAACAAGAATTTTATTCTTACAATTAAGTTCATATTCATTTACTATTAAAAGATACACAATCTCTCTGAAGACCTGTCGATCGTTTCGAATTTTTTAAGATATCTGCTTGAAAACATACTCTAATGGGCAAGCTACTTTATAAAGACAGGGTGAGAGGAGGCAACCACTCTTTTTATCATTGGCTCCTCAAAAATTGCAAAATTTTAAACATTTCATAGAAATCTCTAAATCCACAGTGAATCATTTAATGTGCCAAAAATTCTTGTAATTTGTAATGCCTCCTTTAATTTTTCCTATAATTTTTCAATATTGACATTTTTCTTAGCTCTTTCATTTGCACAGAACTTCCATTTTGTTACTTGTAAAGATTATTTTTATTCTTAAATTTAGATTTCTTCTCAAAATTTCACAATCCGCAAATCAGTCAATTCTCATGCAAGTATTAATTTAAGCGATGAAACCTTTGATTCTTCATTGTTTCCCTTTTATATCTTCCTGATTATAATATGATTGTATTATGTACTCACAATTTCTTCAGTTTTACCAAACGATGATACTAAATTGTGTACTTAAGTGAAATCATGTTCCTGTACTTTGAGTATTATTATACTAAGAATTGTTCAACATTGAACACATTGTGTGCCACTCCAGACTCAAAAAGCAGTCTCTGACAAACTAAGGGTGTCTGTATTGAAACCTTGAGCCAAACTTAATTCTGATTCTAGAATTAGAATTTTCTCAGTTGTTTTATCATGTCAGCCCATTTTTCAAGTGTTTTTTTGGCGCTATGAGGATGTATTTGCAAAAACTGGTCGGCATGGAAAGTGTTAATGCTTGAATTAGCAATGTTAGCTGAATTGGGGTAAATATTACATTGATAAGTTTATTTCTAAGTATTTAAGGTTTATAATATTTTGCTGGTCAGCAATCCTTCTTCTTAACATGAGAAGCTATCGCAACTGAAGCAACTCAACACATTTGCAAAAAAAATTAAGTATTTATCGTTGTGTTTATTAATCAACTTCTACCGTCTGATTGTTCTGATGTTAAGGGGCACAAGTACAAGTACAAGGGGCAGTGATGTACAAGTTTCAAAAGCTTATCCTTAAACTGAATACTCTACGGACCTCAATATTGCTAATTGCTCTTTAATTTTTTTTAAGCTTTAATTTTCATTTCATCATTGTGAAACTTTGAAATAACTTACAACTTTTTTGAAAAATTTTTTAAGTGAGTTCTCTCTCTTTTCTGCATCTATCTTTTTTCTTTGAGGAAAAATATAGTTACTCCTTGAGCCCTCTTTAACTTGATAAAATGTAAAAAATAAGTTGCTAGAAGTCAATGATTTATTTTGAGAGCAATGTTTCTTTTGTTTGCANTCGTAATGCATCATTCCAAAAACTTGTAGGGGAAAGATACCTTGCAAAAAGAACAGGACTTTTTCATCTGAACAAGATTTCAAAAATAGTGTGGGTAGTGAGGTACTTTTTGTCTTAATGTCGGTTTTTGTATTTGTTTTCTTGCAGTGTGATTGAGATTGATGACAGCAACTCAAGTGACGATAGTGATGATGACAATGACATTCAGTTTAATTACAACGACAGTGAAGGTGAAGGTGATTCATTCCATCCTGATTTATCGAGTGATGAAGAGGACGGAATTTATGACGGAGAACTGAATGATTCTTCAAGCGGCGTTGAAGAGAGAGTTGGTAGTGGTCAACCAGAAAGTGTAGAAGACTTAGACTCAAGTTTTAACTCTGACGAACCCTCTGCTGTCAATGCCAGCGAATCCTCTGAAAACCCGGGTAGTCAACCGAGTGACAACGTTAAAAACTCTGAAGGCACATAAAAAGGTACTCCCCTCATAATGTAAATAAGTTACATGAGGAAATCTCCAGAAGATAGATAAAAATTATGCTTGAGAACCTGTTCATTAAACTAAGGCAATCTACTTCTATGCTTTTTTAGGCGCTGTGGTACTTAAATGGCATCCATAGATGTCAGCTTTTTTACTGTCGTGATAAAGTGACTCTTAATGATATAACTTTTTCCTTTCTTTTTGATATTGGTATTTGTTTTTTCTTTCCTCTTTCACTGTTCTCCTGTAAATCAGGTACCTTCCCACCTTACAGTTTCTCCTCTGACTGGAGTACATAGCCACGTTTTATGATGAGCCCTTTTGTATCTAAATCTCCATGTTGTGGAGGATTCAAGTGAAAATGTAGATTCGCTCTCTTTCCAGCAGAAGAATGTCATGTATAAACCTTGAAATGAAAGGTCCGTACCTTCTGAAGCCTAAAAAATAATTGTATAATTCAAATTAAGTCATTTTCAACTCATCGGATCAGATTTATTTTAGTCTTCAAACAAGTTTATAAGTTGCGCTTGTTTTTAATTTATTGTGTAAGAACTGTCTTCTCTTTAATCAAATCGATTTTGCTTAGTTTGTACCTAGAAACATACTTAAATTACAAAACATACCGTATAAAAATACGTCCATACATATTTTTATCATCTAGAGAGACTCTGACCAAGAGATATCGCTCCCCTTGCTAACTTTTTTATACACTTGAATGTGATCTAAAATTGTATCCCATCAAAATTTCCTTTTTTCTAATTACTGAGATTATTTTGGCTTCATGAAGATAAGGCCCTCTTTCCTCCCTCAAAATATTGAGACTAAAATATTGATAACATTTTCTTACTTCAACAAGAATTTTATTCTTACAATTAAGTTCATATTCATTTACTATTAAAAGTTACACAACCTCTCTGAAGACCTGTCGATCGTTTCGAATTTTTTGAGATATCTTCTTGAAAACATACTCTAATTGGTAAGCTACTTTATAAAGACAGGGTGAGAGGAAGCAACCACTCTTTTTATCATTGGCTCCTCAAAAATTGCAAAATTTTAAACATTTTATAGAAATCTCTAAATCCACAGTGAATCATTTAATGTGCCAAAAATTCTTGTAATATGTAATGCCTCCTTTAATTTTTCCTATAATTTTTCAATATTGATATTTTTCTTAGCTCTTTCATCTGCACAGAACTTCCATTTTGTTACTTGTAAAGATTATTTTTATTCTTAAATTCAGATTTCACCTCAAAATTTCACAATCCGCAAATCAGTCAATTCTCATGCAAGTATAATTTAAGTGATGAAACCTATGATTCTTCATCGTCTCCCTTTTATATCTTCTTGATTATAATAGTATTATGTACTCACAATTTCTTCAGTTTTACCAAACGATGATACTAAATTGTGTACTTAAGTGAAATTATGTTCCTGTACTTTGAGTATTATTATACTAAGAATTGTTCAACATTGAACACATTGTGTGCCACTCCAGACTCAAAAAGCAGTCTCTGACAAACTAAGGGTGTCTGTATTGAAACCTTGAGCCAAACTTAATTCTGATTCTAGAATTAGAATTTTCTCAGTTGTTTGATCATGTCAGCCCCTTTTTCAAGTGTTTCTTTGGCGCTATGAGGATGTATTTGCAAAAACTGGTCGGCATGGAAAGTGTTAATGCTTGAATTATTAATGTTAGCTGAATTGGGGTAAATATTACATTGATAAGTTTATTTCTAAGTATTTAAGGTTTATAATATTTTGCTGGTCAGCAATCCTTCTTCTTAACATGAGAAGCTATCGCAACTGAAGCAACTCAACACATTTGCAAAAAAAATTAAGTATTTATCTTTGTGTTTATTAATCAACTTCTACCGTCTAATTGTTCTGATGTTAAGGGGCTAACAAGTTTCAAAAGCTTATCCTTAAACTGAACACTCTACGGACCTCAATATTGCTAATTGGTCTCCAATTGTTTTTCAAGCTTTAATTTTCATGTCATCATTGTGAAACTTTGAAATAACTTACAACTTTTTTGAAAATTTTTATAAGTTAGTTCTCTCTTTTTTCTGCATCTATATTTTTTCTTTGAGGGAAAAAATCGTTACTCCTTGAGCCCTCTTTAACTTGATAAAATGTAAAAAATAAGTTGCTAGAAGTCAATGATTTATTTTGAGAGCAACGTTTCTTTTGTTTGCAAGTTAGACTGTGCCAATCTTTATAATTATTTCAAAATAGATGTTGCTGAAATTAAAACAGATACATTTGGTTCCTTACAAGACTTTCATACATGATTTTGTGAATGGGAAATTAAAAAAAATGTTTTTAACTCTTGCCCCGGTTCTCTAACTTCAGAGTTGTAATTTTTTCTTTTTGTTGTTTCCTTTGTATAGTATATTTGTCATGTTTAAATGACCTAAAACGTGTTTCAATAACTTAAAAAGCTCATTAATTTTAGGTTTTTGCAAATTATTTTATCTAAATAAAATTGATTTGTAAGCCTCTAATGTCTATTTTCCGACCACAAACTTAATACTTTTTATTTGACTTACCTCGCAAGTCAACAAATGAGGTTAGCAAGAGGCTATGCTTCCATCTGAGAGTTGGAGCTGGATCCTAACAAGGATTTTGCAAAGTGTAAATATTATCAAGTGATGAATCTCATAGATTGTAGGCTGGTATTTTTAGTTTTATTCATTCGTGCAAAATTACACGGAACAACATGGTTATACAGGTCTCTTCTTGAGCTATTTCTTTTACAGGTATAACCCCAAAAAGTAATAAAATTCCCCTGTGTGCATTCAATAGTAACAAAAACTATCTGTGTTGAAACTACAAAAACATATATCTTGTTTGCAGCAGTTCAAAATTAACGCTGACATGTTATTGTATCAATAGAGAACTACCTAACATAGCTGCTTGAATTTTTTACAAAGTTTTCTTCTCTTGCTAAGCATCAGTTGTTTTTCTTTCATATCCATAAGCTTGAGTTTCAATCTAATTTGTTTCAAAAAAGACACACAAAAATGTAAATTATCAGTATTACACAATTATTTTACTTTCTTAAGTTTTTTTTTTTTCTTTTTTTTTCTTTTTTTTTATAATCTTATTTATGTTCTTTTTATGATGAGTATGTATTAGTAATAGAAGTGATTGTGAGTTGAAGTGTATAAATTCTTTCTGAGGGTATTTTATCTTTAGTCTCAATTAAGTTTGTTTGCTGTTGTATCAAAAGTACTGTTGATATTTCAAGTCCAAGTCCACACATAAACTAATACTTACGCACATGTGTGTGTAGATCACAAAATAATGAAACTGTCATTGAAGAAATGAATCCCATGTGCAGTCTGTGTCGATCCTCAACCATTCTATTGCTTCCATATGAGCTAATCTACGACATTACAAGGCAATTTTAGACAGAAAGATTTTTAGTTTTATTCCGCTGGAGGTTGCACACAGAAAAAAAGGTTAATGTCAGAGATACAGGAAGAGCAGATAAATTGGCACCAGCTAACCTTTTTTGCGCTCCTTTTCTGCTGGTTTAAGGTCGCAACATACCCCAAGTTTAGTCTCAGCCCTAAACCAGCAGGTATGGGACGCTTTACCTGTCTGTCTTGTGTCTTCGACACGAACTTGCTTTTTCAATGTATCCTGCAAGTGTATTTTTACACCCGAACTTTTCTTTTATTTCTTTTTGATCAGTGTCAAAGAAAAAAGCTCATATTCTCAGGGGTTTGTTATTATTAGCTTTTGGAATTACCATGTAAAGCTGTTTTTTTTTTCTCCTTTTTTCTTTCAAAGAAACTCCTACAAAAATAGAATGTAAATAGGTACACATATATATACATATAATGAAAGTATTGTGTCTTTCAGAGTCCGGATCTCAATTTTTCTCTGATTTCTCTAGTTCTTAACATGTTTTGTATTCCCCTTCCATCCACTCTCTTTCTGGGACATGAGAATATCTTATCATTTTAGTTGATAAGAATGATTCAACTGTCTCGATCTATAAAAAGTTAAAATCCCGTATATTGTGATCAATAATGTGCCCTCCTATTGAGTATCATTAAATGATACTCAATAGGAGGGCAATTTTTTACAAATTTTGTACTACTTACATTTTGCTATTGGAAACTACAATTCCTGGCTAATTCGTAAAAACGCTTATGTGCATAGGGAAACTGATGGTATATATGCACGTTGTTCTGAAACTGTCAATGAGCCAGAAATTGTAGTTTCCAATTGCAAAATGCAGTCCATTTAGTTTAAACGGCATTTGCCATGTGAAACTGGAGCTTGAATGATGCAGTACCTATTGCTAAAGACAATTCGATCAATGACTTCCATTGACTAATTTTACCTGACAATAGCCGGTAAGATTATCCGCAGCTTTTGCAATGACATATAACTTATACTCCATAAAGCAATTATTTAGAACATCAATAAAATGTAAAACTAAAAAAAAAATACTCAGAAGTATTTGAAAATAAGTCTCCTATTATTTTTTTCACCCGTTATAATCATTGGATTGCCATCAAATATCTTGCTTTGAATATTTATCAGTTCTTTTTATTATTCTTTAATTAGCTCATCTTATGTTGGCTCTTTTATACTCATTCGAACAGATGGCGTTTCAACTCCTGTACCAAGTTTCAAGAAGACTGCTTTCGTGTTTTTGAATCCATATACTCAAAAAACCTGTAGTAAATATCTCTCTGTATTATTAAGTAACAGTTTGGTACCTGATTTATCATTAGTTATTTTTTTTTCTTCTTTTTTTTCCCCCTGAAATTCCAATGGTTTTTGGTTTTACCTTAATTCGTGTTCTTATGTTACTTGATTTTGTAAAGTTGTGTGTAAGAATGTGATTTTAATAAAAAGAAAAAATTAACATCCAATCAAACTTGTAATGTCTTTTGTCCAATGAAAGCCTTATCACATGATGGAAATGCTCCATACTAGCGCTGGGAATAATCAAAAATACCTAATAATAACAACCTAGGTAGCCTTAGTGCTATGCATGTAGTACTTTGGTATTCAAAGCTCAGATTTGGTTATCAATACAATTTTATTTGTCGGTAGAATCACGCAAAATAAAAATATCAAAGGTTGGCACCACCAATCTGTAAACATATTACAAGTAGGTATGAGAAAATATAAATCCTGACGATTTTAGTTGCACGATTTTAGTGACCCAATGATAATAAAATTAATTGGTTTTAGATTTTTTGGAGTGTCTCGTAGGTATTACAATGCGCCGAAATGCTCTAATCTTTAAATGAATAGAGATGCACGATTGCTAAGTCCAAGAGACGTCCATGCAACCGTGGTAAAAATTGGCATTAGAATCTGTGTTCCAAAATACCATAAACCTACAGCTGGCTGTAAGATTTCCTATAGCTTCTATAGCCGGCTACACAATTTCTTATAGCCTTTTATAGCCGATGGCGATTAAGCAACAGCCAGGCGATAAAGTGTATGCTAAACGTTACTAATTGACTTAGTGAGTTTTTGGAATACTGCTCTCTTTTTGGAACGTAGTATCTTGATTCATTTTGCGAGGAAAGCTCCGTACTTTTGATGGATGCCTGCCATTACTAATATATTAGAGCGCCTTCAGTTTCGTATGATACTGTGCAATACCTCTGGTGTGAAATAGTTGCTTCAAGCGCCGTGGCAGGCGGGCAGCCAGCGCGAAACACGCATTGGCGCCTACAAACCTAACAGGGATACTTCACGCGTTGCGCAATGCGTGAAGTATCCCTGTTAGGTTTGTAGGCGCCAGTGCGTCGCCGCTCCGCTTTGTGTGCTCTAATATTTAATCTGGCGGAGTCAGCGTTATTCAACTCATGATTTTGAAACGTTTGCACATCCTGTATGGATTATTCTCATTTTAATTGATAAAAAAAATATATGCCTATTAAAGGAAAATATAATGTCGACTGTGCAAGTCGGCAATCGCATAACTCGGAAAACGCGATTTTTCAGGAGAGGGAAAAAACTCTCTACATTCCTCATCTTTGAAGGTAGAGGGGAAAGAAATTCTTAGAGACAGCAAGAATAAGATGCTTCATAAGACTCCATCATCATTTTGAATAATATTCTCGTCTGTCAGGAGAAATGACCGAAAAACCGAGTTATGTGTTTGTAGAAGTAAGGTCCAATACTGAATTCCAAGATACATGATTGGCGAATTACTGATTCAAACCTATTCTTTGCCGATGTTGACTGAATAAAGACTAAATAAGACTCCTCTCACTTTAAAAGTAGCCTAAAGTTCCTTTTAACAAACTTTAATTGGTAGCGAATCTTTAGAATGACACTGGAAAACGATTCGACGGCGTAAGTCGGCAATCACATAACATCGGTTTACGACGTCGCAGACTTCCTGTCACACTTCATATTTTAAACGGAAAACTATACTCAACGGCAATTCTTTAAAACTGCCGTGAGTTTTCTTCCCTCATGCGAAGAAAATTCTGTATAAACTGCAAGGAATGATGTCAAATGTGTCGTAGAAGCGGAGCTTTTCAGACACCATGAACGAGATAATTATATGTGATTGCGGACTTACGCCGTCGAATTACGAATTAAAATGAAATGAAGATAAAAATAAGCGGACGATTACTTACTCAGTTATCCGTCGGATTAGATTGTTAGATGTTAAAACAATAATAATATTTTTGTTGTTTGAAGATTCCGTGACGTACTAACTTTTAATTTTCCCTCCTAAATTGCTCACGGTTCTTCCCGGGAGAGCGGGCGTTGTGTAAAAATGCGGCGCGACGGCACGAGTTATGTGTTACTGGAATTAACGCCGAGATAGGTATGTGTTTTGAGTTCTACGTTTTTAGGTGACCTCCAGATTTTTTTCGACTGAAATATTTTGATAGCAGGTAAAGGGCATCTTCTACACTTCATTTCTGCAGCTAACTCAAAACCGCCAAAAATCGAGTTATGTGATTGCCGACTTACACCGTCGATGTGCGTTTTGTAAATATTAAGGTGGTTCCGTATCAAACCAACTTAATGATTTCCAAAGCACACGAATTTCTAAACAATTTATAGCCTTTTATAATCGATGGCGAAAAAGCAACAGCCAGGCAATAAAGTGTAAAGCCCGGCGATAGGAACTATAGCCCGGCTGCATAATTTTTTATCGCTTCGTATAGCCCGGCCGTATGATTTTCTCCGCATTCTACAGCCAGCTACATGATTTTCTGTAGCCTTCTTTAGCCGGCTATAAGAATTCCTATGGTATTTTGAAACGCAGCTCTTATCGCCAATTTTTACCACGGAATAGTGAAATTCCATAGTTTTTGAATGCCTAGAAACATGATCAATTCATCTCCTCGAGAAATCAATTAGTTTCAGGGTAAGGTCAGTCACTAAATCAAATTCAGAGTAGAATAATCGAAGTTATTTTCAAATGAATCTCTAAATATATCAGCAAAGAAAGAACTTAATTTTTTCAAAAAGCGCGGTACCCGCAAGTCACGAGACGCAGTACCGACTGACAAATGATGTCAAAATTGGAAAAGTTGATCTACAATCGAGGAAATGAGGTTCATAATCCAGTTTTTTTCTTTTTGACGCGTCATTTATCAAAGAATTAGGTTTATGAAGTGACCGAATATCTATTATGTCCTGTGGCCTTTCAGGGAGGTATAACATGCAGCATATGCCATAGTCACAGTTCAAGAAGTTCAATAGTTAAAAAAAAAGATTTTCTGAAATGTAGTGCACGAAAAATTGAGTGGAAACGCTCAATTATGTGATTGGAGTAAATAGCACGTTACTACGAGAAGCAAATAAAACTTTCATAAAGTCCGCTGGATTTGATAGAGAGCGTCGCTATGGGCTGAGCGATAACTATTCGAACACGGCGGTTGAAGGAGTTGCATACTCACAACCTTGAAGGCGATTTTTACTGGCGCGTTAAACATCACGACTTGTTGGAACTGGACTTCAAAAATGCACACTTTGAATCAATTACAAATAGGTACCTACGCAACCTCCGCTATTTTCTGGGAAGGATTCTCTAGTGGTCAACGCTAATCTCACCTC